AAACTTTTGAGTAAGTAAAATACATATTTCAATAAAATTCTGTTGTTGTGAAATTGAAATAAACAGAATTACCTCCTGCTAAATGTTAAATACGCCTTTAAATATTGTCAGTTTATTTGATTAGAATCAGCTGTTTCTTTCCCACAGACACGCTGTGAAGTGTTTACTGTTTAATTTGAAATCCCAATTTTGTGAGGAGTGGTTGATGGCTTCTGACGCCATTGTGCCTTCTAATCAAGTTACTCATACCACGCTACCTCCCCCGTGATTTTCAGCCATTTCAAAGAGATGCATGAATTAAATCTGCTTTCAACTGATGCGATAATGCTAAAGCAGGTGGTACATGCAATTATCGCTCTGCTTTGAAGATTCAGTTGAAGATTAAGACAAATAAACAGTCGAAATAAAAGGTTAACGTTAACGAAGTATATACGAGGTGCGATCGGAAAGTTTCCAGACTGCGCGTATAAAAACCCGTACACTTATCTCAGGTATTAAATTCATCTATCACCCTCGAAGTAGTTCCCCTGGGAGTGAACACAACGATCCCAGCGCCGCTGCCAAGTCTGGAAGCATCCCTGGAAATTTTTCTTTGTCAGCCTGTCAAGCACCATCTGCGATTCTGCCTGAATCTCTTGCCAAAGACTCGCCAAAACGGCTACGGAAACCTATGAAATGCTAAAGCAAGCATTTGGGGAGTCCGCAATGGGTCGTGCACAAACTTTTGTGTGGCATTCACGTTTTAAAAATGGCCGAACCCCTGTCGATGATGACGAGCATTCTGGACGACCATCTTCGAGCACAACGCCCGAAAATGTTACCAAGATTCGGCAGGCCATTCACGAAGATCGACGTCGTACCATCAACGACTTGTGCGACATTGTTGGGACCTGTCAGCTGATTCTAAAGGAAGAACTCCACATGCGACGCATCAAGACAACGCGCCAGCGCACACCGCCCTCAAAGTTCGGCAGTTTTTGGCCTCAGCGGCGCTGGGATCGTTGTGTTCACTCCCAGGGGAACTACTTCGAGGGTGATGGATGAATTTAATACCTGAGATAAGTGTACGGGTTTTTATAGGCGCAGTCTGGAAAATTTCCGATCGCACCTCGTATATCAGAGCGATGATAGTGGATGGTGGTAAAACTGAAACACGTACAATTTTGGATTGTAGCGTAATACAGAAAGGGCTACAACTTTTTAAAATTCGTTACCGCCGAAATTTGCTAAATCGACGTCACCGGTAGTAATTTGAACATTGATTGTGTGTATGAAGTAGTGAAAGGAGCACAACGGCCCAGACGAAAATCCACAAGGATCCCGCTGTATAAAGATCATTCTGTATAAACTTACCCAGCATGCCGACAGGGAATGCGAATGGAGTCTGTAGGTTCTCCATGACGCTCTGGGTCACGACCCACACATAGTTCTCCCCTGTGATCTTGTACTCCCGAGCTGCGTTCAGAATGTGTATTGCTTCTTCTCTGGTGGAGTACAGCAGCATGACTCGGGACTCTGAATTCACCAGCTGAATCAGGTCCTTCGTGTCTGTTACTAGCACAGCATTCAGGATCGTGAACCTGATCAAAACATTTCAAAACATCCTCATAACCTATTGAACATATTAGAAAACACCTACAAATATTTGTCTCTAACCTTAAGATATAAGACCGAGATCTGCACCCATATAAAACAGCAGACAAAACAATACCGGCAATAAAACACTTTTAAGACAATTAAGAATTTTACGTGAAAAGAAAATCGATATCGTACAGAGGGCTCTTTTAATAAAACAATGTTTCGGAGAATGTATCTGCCTCCATCATCAGGGATCAACCAAATACTTAGATGACAAGTAAACTGATATTTGGCCCATATATTTTAATAAACACTCCTTAATATCAAAACTTATCAGAATACAATGTTATATATTTCAAAACAACATTGTAGATGGAAGGAGTAAAACGAGGAGCTAGAAGTCGAAATGACAGTTATATCGAGGCGAAACGTACTCGATTGCAGGTGATGAGGTTTCCCTGCAACGGTAATTCCGTATACGGGGGGAGCAATATGCGGCACGGACACACTAGTAATTATTGCCATTAGCGACCGCCACATTGTTCAATATCTCCCTCGACCCCTGACTTGTATCTGCCGCCTTGACGGACAGACAACGTTTGTTGTGTTCACAGTAGATGAAAATTCTGCCCTGCTGTGAACTTAAACTGTAACTGACACCTTGGATCAGAATCATTCTTGAGAATCTAGTAATCGCTCATCTGGCCTCTTATCGATTACAAATTTCATTGTCATGTTCGCAGCAGCCAGCCACTGGACCCTCCTTTCATCCAATTGAAGCAACTCGACATTCTTGTTACCTTAGATCCAGTTCAAACCTCTTTGAAGACTGATTATATTGGGTGAGATTTCAGGTTATCACAACTTGGAGTATGAAGACAGTCTTCTGGAATGTTGCGCCGTGTAGTCTTCTACACGGCGCAACTACCATCTTCATCCATTATTTTTTTCTTAAAACTGCCGTGGTTTCCAATCCAAGCAAGTTCTCTACTAATACAAAAAATCAGGCCATGCTAGTTTCATTCCATACATTAATTTACCTCTTGGATGCTATACAACGCATGGAGTTGATAAGACGTCTTAAAAGAAGCCAAGAATCTTTCTTGGAAAATAAAATAATTTCCAAAGTCAAACGGTAATATAACTATGATTTACTGATATTTATCTATAAGAGATCGTGGCTTATTTAATGTATTATCGCTTCCTTAGTCGAAAACCACTATATTACTCTGTTTCAACCCTTTCAGGCCGAAGATTACCTAAATACAATTTAATAATTCAGACCGTACCTCAAAGAATACACAACACTTCTCCATTACAAATATAAACTGATTAAATAAATAATCCCTGATTACATCGAGAACCATATGAAACCCATCAATACAAAATACAACCTTGATGATTGTTAAAACAGACGGTAAAAATATTTACTAATGGTCTTTTAATGATTAATGGAGGTCACTAAAAGAGCAGATCACGATACGACTCAAAGTCCATCGTAGAATTTTAAATAATTTCATCTACCAGAGAAAGACAGTGATCTCATAAACCCAGATTCAACTGGAAATTCCAGGTAACGCTGAAGACAGAATTTATGTAGCTAAGCAGGGAAAGGTTATTGGTTGTCAGGGTCTAACAACATCGATCTCTTAGTCCGCCTATCAATTACAGATGCGATTCTTTGCATTTATACCCCTTCATATAAAATGACAGATCATATAACTTTTACTGAGAACTTGTTATTATTCGAACATTTTATTCGGCGTTTCCCGTATAACAGCATATAAACTCACTGAGCTCTGGCTGAGGACAAAAATTCTTGGAATACGTTTCAGTTATCAAGGCAGACAACATCCACGTGCACTCAAAATTTTATTATAATCTCGTTCAGTATATTATAAGCTAAGGCTAAAAGAATTAGTCCTTTCGTCATCATTAAATCCCCCGGATTTAAAGCAACCACAACTAAATATTGTTTCCTGAAAATTTTATTTACAATAAAGTTCTAATTCCTTTTATCGTGTACTCCTGCATATGACAAGCTAACACTTTTATCCTTTCAGCTGCGACATTCTAAGCGCCCATTCACTTTTTTTCGTCCTTCCCCAATCAGAAGGGACTGGCTGTAGCATGTTGCTGCCCTAACAACGGAACCGAGAAATTCCAAGCGGTAGTCATGTTGGCTGTCTGCAGAACGACATGCAGACGGTCCACGTTTTAATCCACAGACATTTTCATTGTTCGAGAGCTTTACAGTGCAGTTTTATTAAGCTCTTACCTATTACATTTCGTGTAATGTCTATGTAATGTACTCCGATAAGAAATATAAATCCACAGAATATTATGAAAGTGAGTAGCAGTAGCCTATTTTAAAATATCATCGGCATTTGCCCGCAGTCATGTAGCCGATTGCTGGGCCAAGATTTGAGCTTGGAAGTTCTCAAATATGAAGCTAAAGTGCTCAACATTCGGCTATGGCGTTCGACCGCTGCGTTACTCTTTCATATGACGTCGTGTGTCAAGTAGGGGCCTTGATGTGGCCCGATACACCATTTATGAAGTCCTATCAAATATTTAGAACCTAATTAGTTGAACACTAATTTTGTATCGTAACAGGCCAGAAGTCGTAGTTCGTAGTAGGTAAACGAGTAGCTATCATGCAGCATGCCATGGGCATATATTAACAGTAATATCAATCCGGTGAACGAAAACGTGGGAACTGCTTTTATGTTCAGTAATCGGGAGGAATCTGTGCGTTCTACGTCCACTAGACGCAAGGGGGTCAGGGGGTTGAGAGGGGTAGCAGATAAAGAAACATACGCTGTCCGTCCACACCACGCGTTTGTTTTCCATCTAAACGTACAATAGCAACAGTAGACGAAAAGCACAGTTCTGTCCCGGTTACTGTCCTTGTATTGGGTCTGGAAATGCCAACTTACTTGAATCTGTCTTGCATGTCTGTGATCCGTTCTCGAACTGCCTGTATGAAGTCGTCGTGTCCTGCTATCTGGCTTGTGACTACAGAAAACTGATGCCACTTGTACCTCTCCAGAATACTCAACATGGCAGCCGTCTGATGCTCTAAAGAAGGTGCCAATTGCAGCTGGAGACTCGACTGGGACGCCCTCTGTAAGAGAAGTTGAAATTATGCAAGACGTTAGAGACCTTCACGCTCTAGGACATTTTTGGTTAGCCTCTTTTGAAAAGTGCCTACTCACAGGATACATTGTACTAGAAAGCGCTCCATACTGATAGTTAATGATAAATACGCTTCGTCAGCAAGAATAACAAAAATATCGAGAAAAAAAATTCGAATTTCCGACAAAGAAAATATGATCGCAAATATCAACCTTTTTCAAAGCTATTATCACATGGCAACCTGACGGAAACTGACTCCGTGGGAGATCTAGAATTAGATGGGAGGACAATATTAAAATGGATATTAAAGGTATATAATACGATGGCGTGGAATGGATTTATCTGGTTCAGGAAAAGGATCAGAGGCGGGTTCTTGTGAATACGGTAATAAACCATTGTTTTTCATAAAAGGCTAGCTGACAGCTTCTCAAGAAAGACTGTCCTCCATGGAATTAGTTAGCTATTATCATGAAACATATCAGGATCATACATCATAATGCGCTAGCGTTGCACCAGTCTTATGTATACGAAAACGTCAGTTTTGAAAAAGAATTATAATAAATTAATATATAATGACGTGAGGTGGTTTCGTAAGTCTCATTAAATTCGCTCTTTTTAGAAGTCGTGAGGTGGAACAGACATAACCAGACATGGAAAAACCGTACGCGATGATATCACATATGGTCTTGTTTTACGTGAATATGCAGGCTAAAAACGAAATTACTGTACTGTATATATTCTGAAACGAATTCAGTTTTGTTGTGCGTTTCGAGGGTTGCTGGCAGAAATGTAATGAGTGTGTCATATTAATTCTGTTCAGCTGCCACGCACATGTGATTACAGCGCTTTGTTACCAGTTGAGGTCAGTGACAGAACGTTTTGTAATTAAAATTGGTTATTAGAAACTCTGACATGAAGTTAAAACATCAGTGATTAAAGCTGTCCGGGCGAATCTCAATATCATATAATTTCAAGCAATCGGAAGTTATATAAGAGTTAATATGCTGATCATTCTTTCAAATGTATTTAGCATATTTAGTTCAAAAGTTAGTACAATTTTGTAGATAAAATCTCACATTCATTAAATTCCATATTACTTATTTCTGATTTCATTATGTGCTTACATAAGATTATTATGTTCACGACAGTATTATCTATAGGAATTTAAAGCACATTACTTAACAGTGAGAATGTGTCTTCTAGAAAATTCCATAATATATTTCTATATTATGTTATATTGTAGTATGCCTTTACATGCCTATATTCTATGAGCACAAGTTATGTAGTAGATATTAATTTTTTCTCTTTTCTAAAAGAATTTTCACAGGAAATATAAGCCTAATATGTGTGCAGTCACAGCTTCGTAATTTTTCGATGCTTCATCAGGTTCTGACGGTGGAAAATGTTAAAAGTTTTACATGAAGATGGTTCATATTTTCTCTCGCACATTTCCACGATCCGGAACAGATTTAATCTACCTTATTTAGGTTTAAAATAGAACTATTTATATTGGTGTTGTGACAATTAATTCACGATACTTGAAGCCTACTATAAGCTGAAGTGTCTGGAGTCCCAGGAGTTGTGAAACTCAAAAGGGTTCATTACTGTGACAATAATTAAACAAGCCTCACGATGGTGACTTCATTACGAGGAGGAACTTACGTACTAGTGCTTCAGAGAATCACTTTTGTGTTCACGTCACGCATAATAATAATAATTACCGGAATACTCAATACAAAGGTCGCTCCGATGGTACAAGAATTGGTCATGTCATACGGTACAGTCACATCGAAGCAAAATGTTGCCCTAACGTGTGTTATAGATTTCAGAGTACAAACTGATAATACCAAGGAAACAAAATTATTAACAGAATTTTAATCAGGCAAACTTCAATGGAAGAGTGCATTTGGGAGACCTAGTCGTTGATGTGAGGATGATGATAATATGGATAATAATCCAACTGGAATCACATGGCTCAGTAAAACACCAATAACCGGATGTAAATGGTAATGGTGTGATTTTATAAAATATAAAAGGTTAATTAAAATTTATCATAATTGTGAACAATTCGGTGTTGTAGTTTCTAAATACGTCTCATATTCGGGACATTCCCTTGACAAATATCGACCAAAATTCAACAACCCAGAAGATAAAAATCTTCAACGATAAAAAATATTTTTAAATAGTAGCAACAACAAAGGGGATTTTAAATTAAATGTAATGGAAGATAAAACGGGATACCTTCTGAGTAAAGGAGGGATGAGAAGGAAAAGCTGATACAAAGAAAGAAGAGACGAGACGAATATTGATATGACCAGCAGATACTTTGCACAGGAACAGTTTGTAGTATTGGTAAAAGGGATAGAAAACAAAGAAGGTGAGACGAGGGTAAAGAAGATTGATGCCTTAAGCGGCTGCACGTAATTGGTCAAGACTAGAGCCTGTGACCAGTCCACCGGCAGCAAGACATAAATGACTGGCACTACAGGGATGACCAATCTTCCTTATATTAAAGAACAAGCACTCATGGAAAGGCAGGTCTGAGGTTCTCACGGCGCTGAATATGCCGATGTTGTTCTTCTGGGTTGTGACGCCGCGTGGAAATCAGTCCTGAAGCGGAAACAGTATGTTCCTCAAAAATCCACACGACGTCACAACCCAAACAACATCGTCATCTTCACCGCCGTGAGATTTATCCTGTGTGTGGACCAGCAAATGAATTTGGGGGGTTCTAGTCCAAATCAGGGGGATAATATTAAAATTAGCCAAAAAAGACGTGAACTGGATTCGTATATCTGTAGATGCGGAGTAATGGCGGAATTTTGTGAAGACAGTAATGAATCTTCGTATTACATAAACGGTGGGGAATTTCTTGAGTCTGAGGGTCTGTTAACTTCTCGAAGTTTGTTCTAGAACAAGTTTATTTTCTTACACATTTTTCTTCAAATACTTTCAACTCTGACCTTGACAATCAGAGCCCGGACACTACTGGAATATTTTAGGTAAAGCCTTTTGGTTATCCCTACATACTCCGAGTCTCCGCTATCGGCAGCTGGAAAACAAACATTTATTTATTTCTACCCCTTCGTTCCATTGCCTTAGTTTGTGATTAATGGCGTCGGTGCGACAGTACTGATGATTCTATATATTTTGTTCTGTACCATGCTGTTTTCGGTGCAGAAAACAGAACCATCTATTAAACTGTTTCTGAAAATATAAGAGAAATATTTGTGGTAGATGTTTATCTGACCACGAAACATCACACTTCGTTCCTAGTTACGGGACAGCGAATAAGGAAGAAATTTATTGTTTCAAACGCCAGCAAAACTTAACTGCAAAATATTTATGGAAACAGAGACGTTTACTTCGGCTTTCGGGAATCAGCCGCGTCGGATGTTCAAAATTGTATAACTTTTAGGTAAACACTGCAATTAACATTTTCAGGCTGACGATCTCCAAGAATGTCGAAATTGTACATTGAGCACCTTTCCCGATAACCTAAGGACAAGGCAAAAACATGGCCCGCGGTACTGATCCAAAACCGACTATCACCACAGGTTTATAAACCCATGTTATATTTCTGCAAGACAGATGTTAATATTATCCTCCCACATGGGCTACGTCTAAGGGGATCTTGCCTTCAGTTATTGCGACTAAAATATAAAATATAGGCCTATTTATCATATAACATGTATCATGCGTCCTATATTCCCCACCCAGCTCACCTCCAAATTGTATCATCCTCGTAAACACTAAATGTTGTTTATTTCTTATACTGACAAATTTCATTTTACATAAATAAAATCATTTGGCAAACTGTCGATTTATGTTTTCTGTATTGTGACGCCATGTAGCCTTGTAGGTAGTTACTAACGTTTCAGAGGAACATACTGCCTCCATCGTCGTCGGTAAATACCTACCAGACTACACACTGTAACATCCCATAAGACAGTGGTTATGAGAACCTGAAATCTTACCTCCGTTCTATGAGATCCTACAGAGGTAAATTCGGGTAAGGCCACCAAAACACTTGGAAATCCTACAACCTCCGAAGTGTGCAAAAGAATTTAAGGCAAAGCAATTGTTCACGTCTTACCCGTTCTAGACCCGAGTTGTCGGCGTTCCACGCAATGACCGGAATACCCAGATAGCCAGCGAGTTGTAGGAAATATTGCGCAGACGCAGTGCTCCTTCCATATTTCTCGTAGTTCATCAGATACAAGATGGCCGAAACATTCACCGAGAGGAACTCTTGGCACAATGAGTTCAAAATGTCTGTAACAAAAGAGAACATTAAAAGTAGCTCGCATGATCAAATGCCTACAAGAATATTAACTGTAAACAAAATTAGTGATAAGTAACTAAGAAACCAATTAAATAACTCTAAGGAGCAGAGTCCTATGTAGCGTCTTCTCCTGAAGCCAATTCCGAAATTATTCTTGAAATTAAACAATTCACTCAGCGCAAAATTCCAGGATAAATGACATTACACAAGAGTCATTATCGGCTCAGCCTGTACTTAAATCAGTACTTCAGAATCTACCCAGTCACATTAACAACTGCTTCTAGAAGTGGAAAGGCATCGGGAAATGTTTCCGTTCAACCGCATTAATTAGAAAACCAACTGTCGTAATTTCATAAATCCGTTGATAATGTTCAAAATTGAGCCGTTGATTAAATTTATTTACAGCACAATGGAGTACTGCAATATGAAGAGGCGTGTTTTCACCAGTAAACCGAAGCCACCACTAGTAGCTCAATTTAGACGTGATGTGATGACGTCAAGAATACTTGTTCTATACGTTTTATGTAATTGTTGACTGTAGCGCCCGCGGTAATGCCGATAACTGACCCAGTTTCTCCCTACAGATGGTTACCACCAGCCTTTTAATTAACATTAACTATCGAATTAATACGTCACAAAAACAACCGATATGTTTCGAATTAGTAGTGTAGTTCCATAAAACAAAACCATGTTACACATTCCTACTGTACCGTACGGGCTCTTGTGAACATGGTAATGAACCTTCAGTTTAAAATGGTGGGAATTTATTAGCCAACTGACCGACTGCCAGCTTCTCAAAACTCTTCTTTGTGGAGTTACGTAATTAATTAAAAGGTAATGGTAAATTATCCCTCTATAGAGGAGAAGGGGCGTAGCTCCTCAAATTCTTAACTTCAGTGCTAGATCCAGACCAGTTATCAGTTTTAGGTCCTGACAGCTTCAACTCAGGTAAAAGAAGGAAGTACAGGCGATTCGGTAGGCCCAGAGTCTGTATGGATGTGGTGGAAAAGATAAAAACTCTGGCCCTCCCAGGAACGGACCACGGTCGTGCAGCACCACAGCCTAGTCACGCTGGTGCTATCGTTAATTTCACAGTCATAAACACTGGTAATTCACACATTAATTATTTATGAGAATCAGTGATACTGACTCTATAATATGTCTAATTTTATCATGATACGGACGGAAGACTACATTTACCTACCTCAGACGAAGAAAGCTGGAGGAAACCAACTACCGAAACGTCATGTGGGTTAGGTAAAATATATTTCACGCAATGGGTGATATCTAATTAACAATGTTATATTAGCTTACCATATTTTATTTAAAGAAAATTCAAAAATGAACTATTTCTGTTATTTATCACAAATAAGTTAACAGAAATTTACCATGAAGTGTCCTTCAGTTGATGGCATTTCTATCACAACAAAAGCGACACTATTTCACATACCATATGGAACTAATGAGTGGTTAATACAACAACAAGAAACAACAAAGGTTCCACTCTATTCTGCAAATAAATTTCACAACTCTTTGGTAGGTAAAGTGTTAATTACCGAGTTGCCCACGAAATTAATTTTAACTGTTGAATTAACCCACATTCGCACACATCAGCATTTCCAGTCTGCACACTCCCTTCGCGGCTGGTCACTCAATCTGCCGCAGTCAGTTCACAAAGGGCATGGTACCTCATCACTCACTTCAAGAGCCCTCCAGTAAATTGGCTGTTCCATTGAGGCCGACACACTGCTCTACAATAAAGTCTAAGAGGGTGGCAAGCGGAGCTATGGGACCCACAAAGACGTCACAACACCCAAGTATATGAGACGCGGGACTATTTGGTGATACAGTCCTGTCGGCGGGTTAGACAGTGTACCGGACCACATACTTCATTGAAAAACCACAGGCAGAAGTTGTAAACCAAATTGCTCCGCCATGACGTTTAATACAGCCTATGAATTATCTGAGGTGGTATTATTGTTATCATTATTACTATAACAACATCTCTACTTTACGACAGAAGTAAATAAATACCTCCCCCTTCCTCTGCCCGCAATTTGTAGTATAGTTATTCATTTATTTATTTTGTTTTCACTTTTTGTTTTATAATATCCAGTGGTATAAAGTATTACCAGTAAAATGTACATAAAATCATAAAAAGCACCATGTTTTTCGATCTGCTAGTAGTGGAGCACGTGACTTCCAAGGAACTTACTTAACTCTCGTGAACTCTTCTTCAGGTTACTCTCTGTCATAAAAACTAAGTGAAGCAGAAACCTCCTACTTTCCGATATGGGGAGCCAATATACATCTGTACGATCATAGGTTGCAACTAACTGTCCAACAACCAACCAACACCCCCCTCCCCCACAACTTTTCAGTGGGCTATCCAGGTTTCAATTCTGTGTAGAAAACCAATACTGGATTTTACTTTCACTAAACAGGCAGGGTGGAGCGAGGGGCAAGGAAGTTCCCATGACAATCACAATGGGCTAGCGGACAGGGGAAATGCGTGTAGAAAATTGGAACAGAGGTGAGATGAAAAATGTTACAACCACTATGATACCTGAATCACCAATTTTCTCGTTACAGTGCGGATGTATCTGAATACGATGTTGTCTTGTAACTGAAACCTTCATTTTTATGAATTACTGTTTAATTTTGTGATAAATCCTCGCCCTGATGATGGAGGCAGCAAGTACCTCTTAAATATCCGTAAATTTCTACCAGACTACACAGCGTAACATCCAAGAAGACAGCCATGTTTACACTCTTCGTTTCATTTAGCTAGAACTTGTTTTATACATACCCAATTGTTAACAAACTGGCAGCACGCCACTGAACGTAGTCTCCACGACCCCTATACGTCTTGTTGGTACGGTGCTTAGATAGAGAAGTTTACCTTTCCACTTTATGTTCAGTTACTTTTTTCAAAAATGTGTCTTATTAGGATTTAATAGTCACATTCGAAGATTATTGACTACAATGTGGTTAGCAGATATAAGCCATTTTTCCATTAACTGAAGCTCTCGAATCGTTCCGCACTGGATGCTGCGTTCGACCACAGCAGAGGAAAGTCGTAATTACAGGTTTTCTAATGTGATTAAAAGAGCCTCGAAGACTTCACATCCTCTGGTAGATGAAGACATTATCTGAACGACGTACTGTTTTTGTGTGCTCGCTTTGCAAGAACAGAACAACTCTGCAGATGCAGCTGCTAGTAATGATGATGACCATGAAGGACTCACACTCGGACAGCTTCACGGATTAGAATAATCCAGGGTTTCGATTTTCATCATAAACCAAGTACAAGAGTTGGTTAAATACGAGTCCTGAAATCTGGAATGGTCTATAGCGTCGTCATGATGAATCCACCAAACATCTCCTAATTCATACCAACTCTTCTTCGTGAACTTCAAACGCATGTATATATGCGCATATAATCCGATAAAGGAGGACACGTGCAATATTAGTGAGAGAATCTGAAGAGAAAAGACAGCTTGGGGCACTACAGCGCAGACTGGGAGATAATATTAAAATGGACCTTAAATAATATTTGGGTGTGTAATGGATTAGAATGTCTCAAGATGGATTTCAGCGGCTGGCTCTGACGAATGATTAATATAGCCTTGCACAAAGTTTCGGGAGTTGGTTGTACTGCCAACTTCAGGGGATTCTTTTTCATTAGGTGCAGAATACGTTATAGTAGTTATTGTACAGTATTCAGTTTATTATAACAAGCAAAGAGACTTAATCGGAGTAGAATATAAACAATATACAATATTTGTTTAAAATATTATGCTTCATTTCTGTAAAATACGTTGTTGTTTCAATGTTACTTATGGCCTGAAAATAAGTAACTGCATTCAAACATGTAGCCATCAATAGATTACAAGGCGTTAAGCCGTCCACACTGAACGAAAAAAAGGGAAAAAAACAAACAAACTAAAGAACCACCAGTATAATGACAATCAATCAACTGAACAGGCTCCCAAACGTCGTGTGTATCAAATACACCTCATTTAATAGCAAATGCTGACCATAACAATTTCCAATTGTAATAATGCCCTGTTACGATCCCTTTACGATCAATTGTTATATCATGAGTATCTGAACGCGTTACAGACCTCCTTCCATGTGGTCAACATTTGAGAATTCCTTTCAGGTACAAATCAGCGATCTTTATACGTCGTTTTCGTTCAGTTTGCTTTCTCCGCTGCGAAATCACAGATGCGTGGGGGAACAGAATCAGGATAAAACCACGTCATACAAATTTCATGTGGAAGTTGCACTCTTACATCGATATTCCAGCACATGTAAAACACCTCCAGGGCAAAGTTTACAGCAGTGAGGCCACCTACTCGACAGGGGATTGCCTATTTTACTGCAAAATAGTTTCACTTGTAGAACCTGTTTGAGAAGGATTTCCTTTGACACAACAGTTCCTTCGCTGAGTCTTGTCTTATATCCATTGTACCCCAATTAAACACAGCTTGGCATTTTTATACTTATATTTTGTCTAGAAACTCTGTATGAAAGAAAATAGATAATACAAATATAATTTTCGTGGTTTTATAACTATACTTTATCGATGTTGATGTACAATTATTGCAAATAAGATACAGCTGATCTGTCTCTTCGCATGTTAAAGATCCCGGTATGAAATCTCGGCGAGGCCGCCAGTTATCCTGACTGAGGTTTTTCGTCTTTTCTCTCAGTTCCTTCCCGGAAATGTCGGGTCAGTAGCTTAAGTTAGCTCACGACCGATTCCTTGCATATTCTTATCAATCATTAATCGTAATATTACTCGACGCAGTTCAATATCTAAAGGACGTCCCAAAAATACGCACAGATAAATTCAACGAATACAATAAAAACATTTTAAAAAACTAAATCATTACATACGTCAGCATTGGTACTTAGTACATCAGCGAATCTGGTGTAGGTGTTCAAAGTGACCACCGTTAGCTTCGTGGCATAGTTGACAGCG